TTGCTTCACAGGCATAAAAAACATTTTGAGAAACAGGTGAATAGTCCAACAGATAGAAGTTAAAGGCCAAAATCATATTCAGTGGTATTCGCATTATTATGCACAACTTGACAACAGATCCAGGTTAAAAGAAGTTGGGTGTTTGGTACAGGATTAGTTTCCATAAAAATAATTTAATTCCATTTTATTTGTATAGCGCCAAATTACAACAACAGTCGCCTTTATTTTGTAAGGTAAAGACTCTACAATAGTACAGAGAAACGTTCAACAATCAGATGATGCCCTATAAGCAATCATCATATGATTGTTGGGTTATTCTCTGTATGTATTATTGTAAGGTCTACCTGACAATATAAAGGGCCATGAGGCCATGTTGTTGTGATTTGGCACTGTATAAATACAACTGAATTGAACTGAATTAAATTGAAGCAATCACTTGGCAATAGCGGGAAGGAAAAACTCCCTTTTAACAGGAAGACACCTTCAGCAGACCCAGCCATCTGCTCCATCCAGTATTAATAATGCTGTTATTAAAGAGAATGTGTAATGAATGTTAGTATTAATGCTCTAGAGCAGTTTAATAGGAGACTGAACTTTGAAACATCTACCAGATAAGGCATGAATCCACCTCTACAGTGTTTGCTCTTAATGTGGTGACTCTTGTCTTTGTAGGATTTATAAGGAACACACAGCGGTGCTCAGACTGTGGCCGCACTTTGAATGGACCCTGACCTTGTATTTGCCCTTGCAGATGGCTTCAAACAGACGCTCCTTGGTGCCATAAAAAGGGAGACACCCCGAGAGGAGGATGAAGAGGATAACGCCACAGCCCCACACGTCCACGGGTTTACCATACGGCTCTCTCTTCACCACCTCTGGGGCCATAAAGTGGGGAGTTCCTACGCGACCTGGAGTTACAAACAGAGCGTGCAAGTCAGGTAACAGTTCCAAAATAATAACATTTTGACAATAAAACACGCACAGCAAAACTTCCTTGTTGGTTCCCCAATCATTTCGATTCTTATGTTTGCTGAAATTGAAAAGGAAGTAGTTCAAGTTTTATTTCCTTTGTTTTTCCCTAATTACCAACTACCAGAAAGTAATGTCTCACAATCAAGTGAAAAGAGGAAATGATACTTTACTTTGGGTGACTTCCTATTTTGATGCAAACTAGGAAGCGCACGGTTTTTATCCAGGTTTAAAACTAAGACAGTTTCTAATGTGCAGCGTTCTTACATTTCTTACAAGTTCTCAGTAGCTGATACTGTCTACTACTTTATCTGTCCTTTATTAGAGTGAAACTAAAATGATGATGTTATCCCAAGTTAGTTGCAGCAATTTAAATGCTGCAAAACTGTTTAATTACTTTGGCTTCAACAGTCAAACAGGCAGTTAACCAACTGAGCAGTGCATTTCTCTCCAAGTAAAGACTTTTAATTTAAAATGAATTAATTTAAAAGGTTTTAAGAAATTCTGCAACTGTTAAGACTGTGAGTCTTTTAGACATCTGCATTTGACAGATGCTGAACAAAATCTGACTCATAAAACGGGTACTTCATTTGTACGGGACATCAGTTACTGTGCATGGGAGTTACTACTGACTCAGAAATAACTGAAATAACCAGCACAAAAACCAATGTCTGGTCAGAATTAGCAACAGCACCAACACACTGATTCCAAATCTGCAAGATGTGGTTGCGATCAGCAGTCTATAAAGGAAGTTGCCAGTATACCTCCTGACAAAGGAAGCCTCCCTCTGCCATGAGCACTCCCACACAGAGACTCAAAGTTTGAGCTTTACTCAGACTTGATTTTCTTTTTCTAGCTGAGGTATGGTACACAATGTTTTCACCAAGTTGATACCTTAAGCGTAGTGTGTACAGATTGACGATGAATTCTTAAAAAGCAAAAATTATTAAATTTCCATGTGACAGCTCTCCATTTAAAAGTCAGTTTCTGGCATCATTGGACAAACACTGATACCATCTTAACACAGTGTCATGAGTGTTAAACTGTATTAAGTGCTCTTGACGGAGAGTGGAATTCTGCACCTCCTCCTGTGTTTTAAGGCTTTAGGGCTGTGACTGGGTACACTTTCAGGTTGGATCAGGTGAGGTAGCCTAAAAAGAGAGGTTGCTTTTAAGCAAACAAACAATTGCATCCTATCTCTTTTCATAAAAGCCTTTAACTTGAAATTTAGAGGAAAATATCACAAAGTCAAGAAAAGATGTGAAGGAAAGGACTTTCAGCTCCTGACTGAAATTACCCAGGTTGCCTGAAAGCACGATGTGCTGAAAGTATGATCTCCTAAAGATGCACCACGGAAATCCATGTGTTCTCAATGTGTTGTCTTTTGCAAGCTATTTAGCTCCCCCATTACTCATTTAGCATTCATTCATTTCAATTCATTCATTTCAACTTAAAAATGTCATTATTATATTAACAAATATTACCCACTCTGCAGTCCCCTCATATTTTTGTGCTTTAACTAACATCATTAAGATGAAAACACTTTAAATCTCGCCTTTATTAAAGCATTTAGGATCTCTGAAGTGAAATTAATTCTAAATAACACCAAAATGAGGAGAAAACTATATAAATTGAGTTATAATCACTATCCATCCATCCATCCGCTTCCGCTTCTCCTTTTCAGGGTCGCTGGAGCCTATCCCAGCTGTCATAGGGCGAGAGGGGGGTACACCCTGGACAGGTCGCCAGTCTGTCGCAGGGCCAACACACAGGGACAGACGACCATTCACACTCACATTCACACCTAATGGCAATTTGGATTTTCCAATTAACCTATCCCCACAAGCTGCATGTCTTTGGACGGTGGGAGGAAGCCGGAGTACCCACGCAAACACGGGGAGAACATGCAAACTCCACACAGAAAGACCCCGGCCTGATGGTGGAATTGAACTCAGGACCTTCTTGCTGTGCGGCAACAGTGCTAACCACCGTGCTGCCAAGAGTTATAATCACTATAATGATTAATTCACTCTGATAAACCCACCTTACAAAGTGTTTCACACAGGACACAACTAATGAAGCTCCATAATCTTTACAAATCATCTGTTGAGATTTTAAAAAATATCCACATATTAGCGATGCATAAGAGTAACAGTAATGCAGAATTGACTTGCCAACATCGCCTTTCCTTATATAAAGAACGCTCCAGAGTATCCTCTGCTCAAGAACATAAAGGAGGGGCCAAAATATCTTGTATTTTATATTACAGCATCTTGGTCATTTCACTTTTGCTCACTGACTATTTCACTGCAACCAAAGTCTTCTTTACCGGTGAGATGTGGTAGCTTAATGACTTAAAGGCATGACTTTCACCCAGGGGAGTGCACTGTCTCTGTGAATGGTCATTGGGGCTCAGGACAGGTTTCTGCCTGTTGTAGTTTTAAGTTGTTCATTTATGAACTGGAATCCATGAATAAACAATTCAAATGGTTTCCAGCTTGTAATTGTTTCCAGTCAGCCAAATTGGAAGCAAAAAATATGTCCAGTAAACTTTTGGCAGATCCTATTAATGATGTACTGATGAATGTACACGCTCAGTTATCATGAATATCATATTCTATAATTTCAAGTAAAGTATTTATATATAATATGCTGGGAAAGTCACTCTAAATTATATCGATATGTGTCATAACTATGTGTTTTTCTCAGTTCTTCTTTATGTCACAAGAGTCATAAACCCTGTGTCCCTTATGTCACAAGTGTTTAAATGGTGTCTTCAACAATAAGTTCAATTATGTTCTGTCTCTTTGATCCCATCTTAGTGGAACTTTTCCCACAAGTCAGAAAAAATAAAAATCTCCCTAAACAAATGGTGACAAGGCATGCAGGGAGAATCCCGCTGTGTTGTGGTGTTTACTGTACCTCCTGCCACCAGTCCTGACTCTCCGAGCTGGATCGCCACTCCGAACCCGCCCAGCTTCACTGGAGCCGAGTTCTCTTTAGATGCCAGCAACACGCAGTGAGGCTGAGAATGAGAGAATGGAGAAGGAAACAGAGATTTTAGCAAATTAAAGAGTGAAATTCTCCTATAAATAACAGACATTAAACGAGCCAGACACACCCCAAACCACCACCCACCACGGCCACACGCAAATAACTGAGAGTGTGGGAAGATCAGAGTAGGAAGTTTGCTGTAGTGTCTTTATACGACTCCAGTTATTTTAAATACAACGTTGACTTTTGCTTTTTTGATCATGCTGTCGTCACACGCCATGAAAACACAGATCTGTATTTTCTTCCCAAAGCATCAAGTAATGCAACCACAACATTTCAGTCGAGCAGTTTTGCACATGGCAACACCTATTTAGTTTCACATTTCATTTCATTAATATTTGTGGTCATCTGCAGCATCCTTTCTATGATATAGTGTTACTTTGTGGTTTAATGTGGACTGATACGGATCTGAAAAACAGCAGACAGAAACAGTTTTACCGTGCGGAGCTGTTGAACGGAGTATTAAAATTTCTGCTTTTGCTCAGACCTTTCTAAATTCTTTCTAAAAATCTTACGTGAGGACATTAAATACCATTTTGAAAAAAAAAAAGGGGGGGGGGGGAAGAGATTACCACAGTTGACCACACTCTGCAGATTCCTCCAATAGCCAGAGTCCAAGGTGGAAAGCATACTGTACACAAGTGAAGCATGCCCTGTGAGTATTTCCCCTCATGTGTATAATCAGAAGGCCTCTCTCTCTCTCTCTCTCTCTGCTTCTGTATGGTGCTCGGAAGAAAAGAGGGGGGCTGACCACAGTATGAAATTTCCTCTGTGCAACATTACCGCATTCTGCACTTCAGCATTTCTGACTGCACAGCTGTGGACAGGCGCTTATCTTGAAAGTGAGATAGGACAGTTAGGGAAGCCAAAAAGAAAAAAAAAGAAAAAACTGAAGCTGAGTCTACACAGTACTATTCTGTGACGATGATAGTATTTGCTCAACGCGAGTTGGACTACAGGAGAAAATCGAACATGAGATGACACAAGGAACTATTTCCATTTTTTCAGAGCGGCAAATTTGGATTTTTCCTGCATGTTCAACTTACAGGGATATCCTGGAGTACCTTAGAGGAAGACAAAAAGACTGCAAAACCTGTAAGTGTGTATATGTGTGAGGTTGGAACTGATCCTCACCGTTCACACAGCCCTTTACACAAAGAAAGGAACGCATACTTCTTTTTTAATGAACTCCAATAACTAGGTGAGTGTTTTGAAAAGTTCCTTTTTTTTTTCTTTTTTTTTTTCACACTGTGTGCAACGCAATCGGGCTGAGCTGTGAGGAGAGTAAGCAGTTTCCTTTTACTGCCATTTCATTTACTGATCTTTTGATATACTTCTCTTGAAGTAAACTGACTGAGCACATACACATCATTTTAAAACTGCTTGGCTGCGGTAATGTGCAAAAGATACCAAAGAAATCCTGAACAGGTTATTCACATGTTTCTAGGGCTTTCCAGTTCCTGAGGTTATGATGGTAAGATTGTGTTTTGCAGGGCAGATTAATGCTCACACCCACAAACCTGTATGTATGACAGCCCTTTCCCGAAATGCAAATTATTCCATGTGTGCCCCTCATCTGTTTGCAGGACTGTCAATCCCCTGAAAAAAGACACCATGGCAAAAAACTTCTCCTGTAAGAACCAAACAACAAACTTAACCCTTGACCCGTGTGGAGATGACGACACACTGCAGGTCCTGCTGGCAGTGAGCTACTCTATAATCTTCATCCTGGGTCTAGTCGGGAACCTGGTGGCTCTGTGGGTTTTCTTCTGCGTCCACTCCAAGAAGAACTCTGTTCGAGTGTTTCTCATTAACATTGCATTGGCAGACCTGCTGCTGGTGGTCTGTCTGCCATTCAGGATACTCTATCACAGCCAAGGTGACAAATGGAATCTGGATCCCACCGTGTGTAATGTAGTGGGACACCTCTTCTACATGAACATGTACATTAGCATCACTCTGTTAGGGCTGATCAGTGTGGATCGCTACTTTAAGATCCACCAAAGTGTAGGAATGCAGCGCAAACTCTGCTCCACAAAGCTCAGCTTCGCCCTGTGTGCCATCGTCTGGATTGTGTCCACTTGTATCATTTCAGTGATGGTGTCATCAACGAATGACTCTCCACATGTGGGCAGGTTGGTAAAACCTTTAAATCTTCTTTTTTTTACCTTACTGTTAAAGTCAAAGATCTGCAGTGGCCAACTTGTGTGACAAAATGTATTTCCTGTGTCCAGGTGTTTCCACTACAAGAAGCTGGATAATACAAAGTGGAAGGCTTACATCAACATGTGTATGGTGGTTCTTTTTTGGTTAGTCTTCATCTCTCTCATGATGTCCTACGGGAAGATCGCACTCAAGCTGCTGAGGACATCACAAGCAAATCCTGATCTGCCCAACTCCACTCGCTACACTCGAACGGCCAAGAAGTCCTTCTTCATCCTCTTTCTCTTCTGCATCTGTTTTGTGCCCTATCACGTGGTCAGAGTGTTTTATATAAAAACGCAGATCACAGACACTTCATGTTTCTGGATGTGTGTCGCTGACAAAACCAACGAGGTGGCTCTGCTGTTTTCTGCCCTCAACAGCTGCCTGGACCCTGTCATGTACTTCCTGTTATCCTCTTCAGTGAGGAAGGAGGTGCTGCGCTTGGTGAACAACATGATCTGCTTAAGAGATGTTATAGGCATCAGTGGGAGCAGCTCCACTGCTGAGATGGATAGTAGAAATGGGAGGACTGACAGAGAACACCCAAACACCAGTCTAATTAGTAATACAAAGATAGAAAGTGGTTTATAAATCCCCACACAGCAGAGCAATAACTCTACTGACGTAAACAACATGTAAATATGACAGAAGCCAGCAGAAGAAGAGGAGCGTGACAGGGCAGCTGCTGCTCTTGCCTGTGCGCCTTTACTTGGTGCTTACCTAAGAAAAACCTTTGAACTATGGCTTATTTTGAAAAGGTTTAGGACAACTTCGCATTATTTTATGCAGAGGAAAAGTACTGGCTCTGTTACACTGTAGGGCCTATGATTAGTCCTGTGATTAAACATTTGTGTCATGATGGGAGTGGGCTCTTTCCACTGAGCCTCAATATATAAGACTTGGAACGACAGAGGAATATCTATCTGCACCAGAAACTTGGACACGCAGTGACAAGGAACACTGAAGCTGGTGGTCCCGCAAGTTACTGTGGGTTTTGTTTTCTGTACCCAGTCTGTAACTGGGTTTGTAGATGTGTCGTCTTCGATGGTAAAGAATCCCCCAAAATTCCTGAGACCCACCTCTGGAAACTGTTTTCATGTAAATCCGTCCTTAATGTTACGAGTAATCCTGCAAATTAAAAAATATGTCCTTTCTTATCATAGAGAAATTTGAATGTACTTGTGTGCCATGAGACATTTTGAGATTTCATCATCAGCATCGTTTTCATGTTTGAATCCAAATAGTTTCAAAGATGGAGGGCAAAGTAGTAGGGCAACCCCTCACCCCACACACACACACACACACACACACACACACACACACACACACACACACACACACACACACACACACACAGAGCTAGGGGTGTTTGACTTTGCCAGATGTGACAGTAAAAAAGCAAAAATAAAAATACTTAAGTCCATCAAAGGCAGGACCACTTGGACTTTAATGCTTTTTTTTGCATAAGCTGGTGTTTTCATACTACACCGCTCGAGTGAAACTGTGAACTTAATCGGTGACTGAGCAGTTCCTTTCACACCCATATGCTGCATTAATCTAGTATCAGCACTGATAAACGAGAGACACAAACCACAATTACACAGATAGAAACATGACAACAAGTCAATACTCTTCCCCTCACTGCATTTATCAAAACATTTGTCACATACTGTTTAAATATAAACGTGTGTGTGACCCTGCAGATGGCCATATGTCACTAACAAAACACGCTGAAGACAAAGTGAAGGAAAGGTGATGGGAACTTTGCAGATTCGATCAAAGCCTGAACTTTATGGTAGTTATAACAGCATTAGAAAAAACAAACAAACAGGGAAACGATTACTGAGGTGAAAGCATGGGGCTTCACTGATAAATACCACTTCTCACAGGGCAAAATGCCTTTTATGTATTAAGAAAAGCTCTGACATTTACAGAAGTCTGTTTTCAAAGTTTGTTCTGTATCTTGGTGTGATTTATTTTATAAAGCTTATGTTAATGTGCCAAATTGTGCTTTTCTAAATAAAGTAGGATATAAATAGTCCTGTGCTAATCAATGTTTATCATGCAGCGTGTCCCTTATTATGGAAGGGAAGTGTGTGTAGGAACCAAACAACTCTTTCTGCTTCTCATCTAGAACAACAGCGCCACCTCAGGGAAGAAAAGGGACAGTGTTTAGGCAACCCAAGCCAAACATTGTGTGCAGAAAAGATGAACAGATGAGTAAATAAGCAGAAAGATGGAAACTAATTTGAATGAGAGAAATTATTTATTTTTATTTAAAAGTGAATATCAAATTGAATCACTGATTTGAACGCTTAACATGCAACACACAACTGCTCCTTATTTTCAAGTCATACACGGCATACCCTGAAACGAAATGAGGAAGCCTGCTAGACAAAACATAGTATTCTAGTTACGAAAATACCACACCCCACCGACAACTTGCCATTTACAATAAAGCGCCACTTCGACAAGGAAGACACTGCAGAGAAGCAGCGTGTCATGCCTGCTGTTAAAACCACCGTTTCTACTCTACCCTCAGAATACTTCACATGGGGCAGTGTCATCTGATGCCTGCAGCCTTTTATTGAAACATCTCAGAGGACCTGTTATTGGTATGTATCATGAAGCCAAACGCATCTCTGTGCAATGTTGTGTTAGTCAAGTGCACTTAATTAGTTAAATGTTACATTTTATCACTTTGAAAGAAAGAAAGAAAGAAAGAAAGAAAGAAAGAAAGAAAGAAAGAAAGAAAGTATTGCTGAC